ATTGTACTAAGGCCATCTTGCACTAACAAATTTAATATGTGAGCACAACATCTAACATGAAACAAAGAGCCACCAAGGAATAACTTACTGCTTAGAGATATATTCTCTTTGAGACATCTTATGCATGAGTCATTGTAAGAAGCATTATCCACAGATATTGAAAAAAACTTTATTTTCGATTCCCCAAGTTTTCAAACACTTAAAAATAGCATCAGCAACATCAATACCATGCCTTGGAGCAGGCACTTTCACAAAACTTAAAACTCTTTTTTGAAGATTCCATCCCGCATTAATGAAATGTCCAGTAATAACCATATATTCAACTACTTGATGGCTAGATTTCCACATATCTATAGTTAAACTGATCTTGGTCACTCTTTATAACAATTTCTTCAATATTTTCTTCTCCATCTCAAACAGTATCAAACAATCATTTCTTTCAGTTTTCTAAGTAACCTTATGAAAATCAAGGTTTATATATTGGAAGGCCCACATCCAAATAGAATCCTCAACAACAGTAAAAGGATATTCATGAACCAAAATAACAATTGCAATTATTTCCCTCATCATTTCGTTAGAGTATCTAACACCGGGAATCATAAAAGGGTTATTTGAATTTGAAGGCTGGAATGGAATGGTGGGTTGTCTACTTTCAACAGTTGTTTTAGCCTTCTTTTGAATGCAACTTTTGGAATGTCTTTTCAAATGGGTAGTACTTGACCCGGTTCCACCAGTAGCAAATTTACTTTTACAGTATCTGCAAACAACTTTCTTCACCCCAGGGGAGATTTCCATTTCATCAAAATCATTCCAAACAACTGAAGTTTTTTTCCTCTTTCTCCCGACAACTGGTTCTTCATGTTCATTTTCTTGATTGTTAGCTTCTACTTGAATTGAATCTGTAAAAACTTGTACATTCACCTCATTATCATTTGTATAAGTGGATGATATTGGTTCACTAATTTCCAAGGGAGAAGACATTTGTTAAACATAGTAAAAATATGAAGATGAAAGAACCAATTAACAAAAAACCAACGTGAACATGCCTAAATCAAGACTCATAATGAAACTTCTTAAAGGAATAAGAAGATGAAAGAAAAATGGCAAGGTTTTGAAGTTTTACCTCTATCAAAGATCGAGTTTTCTGTTTGGTTTCTGAGAAAATTATTTGCAAGAGAATAGCTATAATGTTTTTGCTTTCTTGATTCCAGATTATCCCAGAGAAGAACTACTGCGAGATCTCCAAGTACCTCTTCCAAGGTAACTAAATCAAATAAAAAAATCTCATATCCATTTCGATTTTCCTTCGTTATATTTGGATTTTAATCTGGTTTATTTTTTGGTAAAAACAGAGGGTGTTTGCTAATTGCTATTGGAGAGGTGGAATGGTTTTACAAAGGGTGTTTACAGGGACAGGTTTGTCAATTGTCATTATAATCATAGATTTACGCACGTGTGGTCCGTACTCACCGTGATATTATTTTAAAAGTAAAGCCAACGAGAATATACAAATATTTGGGTTCACGGGCGTGTAATCTGTTCCACCTTTCTTTTTAGATAAAAAATTTGTACTAAAAAATCATAGAAATGAACTTCACTCTACGATTCTTAATTTTTAAGTGCAACTGGAAGAGGCAAAAGTTATGCGCAACCTGAGCTAACATGGCACCATTATGTTTCAACTTTCTCCAATTTCCATTACGCATGTTATTTCACTTTTCCAATAAATCCAACTTGTTTGTGTCCAATTATAATATTAATATTTTGCAACTTGTGTGTCCAATTATAATGCAAAATCAGAATCACAAGTTAACAACATGCATGAATATAATATCTTATTCGATAAAACTTGCGTGAGCCAAACAACAACGCTCATACTTTGCTGTTCCCCACGCACGCACCTTGCCCGACAGCAGCTCCCATATTTTGTTGTTCCCCACACCACACCATGCCCAACAACAACGCCCATCCCCTGCCCATGTTTGGCATCACCGAACACATGAGAAATCAATAAAATTTATAAGCATATATATAGGCCGGCCTATCAGGCTTATAAGGCTTAATAATAAGCCTAAGCCTGGCCTATTTAAATTAATAGGCTTTTAAAAATGCTCGAGCCTGGCCTTTTTATTAAATAGGCCAGGCCAGATCAGGCTTTATGTAGGCTAGGCCGTAGGCCCCTGTAGGCTGGCCTGGCCTATTCCGACCCCTATTTGGACTGGTGTAGGAACTATAGCATGAAATATAAGATATTGTCTAAGATGGCTGCTGATATACTAGCTATTACAATTTCAATTGTGGCATCGGAGTCCACATTTAGTGCTGGAGATAGAGTAATTGATGAATTTCGCTCTAAATTAAACGAAGAATCTTTTGAAGCTCTAATTTGTGGTGGAGATTGGTTTCGTCAGAAATATAATGTGAAGAAAAAATCAAAGGTTAATATTACTTATTATAATTTTTATAGGTAATATTTAATCATTTTTAGCAACGTGTTCATTAATTTATGTAGTGTTTTTCAGTCCAGTAACTAACATATATGTATTTTTCTTCTTATTTTGAAGGCTGAAAAATAAGAGATACAAATCACATTGAAGCTCTAATTTTATGTACCAGTTCTGTTCAAATGGAATGGAGAGATGTAGGCTCTATTTTTGTTTGTAATAGTTAATATGTTGGTTTGATAAACTTGGATGTTGCTACCTAAAGTATGAGGTTCTATTTTGTTTTGGATTATTTTCTTTTGTTTTGGATTATTTTCTTTTGTTTTGGATTGTTTTATATTATCTGGTGATTTCAATTTATATTATTAATATATTTGTAGGACTATCAACTAAATTAACGTTAGATTTAAAATTAAGCCAAATTATATATTAAGGCATTATTTAGTCTATTATAGAAGGTGTGTTATTTTTGTTGTTGATAAAAACAACTAGCAAAGGAATATTAAAAGTTTAATGTGAAACATGCTTTTAAAAAGGCTATCAGGTCAGATCAGGCTTTTAAAAAGGTCAGACCGAGCCAAAATAAAAGCCTTTGATAGATTATAAGTCAGGCTCAGGCCTAAAAAATTAATTGTATGCCAGATTCAAGCCTTTTAAAGTCTGGTCTGACCTATTCAGACCCCTAGTTATGAGAGAAAAATACAATTGGAAAATAGTTCAAATTTGAACTTTAAAAATGATATTACCGAAAGCGATTTCAAATGAAAAAAAAAATCAGTAACATTTTTTGGGGAACAACAAATCGCTCCGAAGAATAATGCAGGCACCTGACATTTGCAAAACAATACAACAAACATATAAAAGTAGCAGCAATAATGTCCCTTGTCTCTTTAGCTCGTCCATTCAAAACATTAACATGCTACTGCAAATCCCCACAAAAAAATCCTGCTAAAATCACGACTATCAACAACAAAAATTACATGAACTTTGGCAGCTGTTCCACACATGTATTTAAACAGTGATTCGTTATTAGAATAGCCGTCGTTATATAGTAGTAATGGTATTGTTTGAAAATCGAAACGGTTATTTTACTACCACGGTACTCACAATGATACACTTATTGTGACCGCAATCACAATACAACCGAAAACACGACTCACTTAACAGCCGCAGCAACAAGAAGTAAGCTCCTTGGGTTCTGAATTCTGATCCACACAGAAATAAAACCGATTGTTTGGAGGAAGTTGGGATTTCATTGAAAAGGCACGTGAAATATAGCAACCATATTTACTCATTGGTAAATGCGCGTTGTTTGATTTACTGTTTCTCGGAATTTGTAATTTTTGGCTTTCTTTCTTAATTACCCCAAGCTCTGCTCAGTTGGTAGAGTGTAAGGTTCTTAATTTTGAGATTGTAGGATCGAGTTCCACGGAGGATATTTCATAATTCGGAGGTTTTCTACGAAAGTTGCTCTCAACCTGGTGTTGGGATCAACCTACTATCTTACCTCCCCGTACCCCATTACATTTAGAAACAAGGTACAACCATTGTCTTGCATGGGGGCAGTCATGAGTTGTATAACATTAGGTTTTGTCTCTTTTATTGTCTTTTTGTTTTTATTTTTCTTTCTTCTGTTCTTTCTTCTTTAATTCCATGGCCAGACATCTGGCAGTGTCACGAGTCCTGCTCTTAACCCTCCCTTATAAATTTTATTATTTTCTAAAAAAAATAAAACTTAATATCATTAACCATGAAAAGCCTGCATGCACGTTATCTTATATTACTATAACCAGTCCATTAAGTTAAAACACGAGGAATATAATTTTAAGAAAAATGTTATATACGCACGTAATTTAATAAAAAAAAACATTTTATTTATTGAAAACAAAATTAAAAAGGAAATAATGGAGAAAATGTTCACTAATAAAGTATTTTGTGGTCTTTATTAATTAATTCCAAATATTAGTATTGGGATTAGGTATTAGGTGGCCGAACAAATGATCTCTGGATCGAAATTACAAACAAGTTAAAGAGAATATATCTTCTTTTTCTTGCTCAGAAATGAATAATAATTAATATAAAATCAAGGGAATAAAATAAATGATAAATTATTGAAGAACTAAGAAATTAAATAAAAAAAATCATTCATTTGTCGAATGTGTTGGAATGTAGTCGACATATTAATATTCTTTATCCCATTGCTTTCCAATAAATAATTGTGTTTGGTAATAATATTTTTAACATTATCGAAGGTATTGAAGCACATATAAATGAGTATGAAATCACCTTCCATTCCTAACTTTTAACAATTATGCATGATAGAACCCTTTGAGTAGTTTCGATGGTTTAAAAAAGTATTGTTATCTCATGAGATCTTGATTTAAGCAATTGTATTTGCAGAATATACATACATTGTTAATAATTACAAAATATTAAAATATATATTATTTTGTAATCACCGTACATCAAATAAAATTATTTTGAAGAAAGAAAAGTAATGATTGTTTGGGCTCATGCCATTTATGTTAATGGAAGAAATCAACGAGAAGATCATCATGCAAAAACAAAAGGCTTGATTAAACCTTAGCTTGAGTAAGCATTAAAACAGTTTTATGAATGAAACCCTAGTTCATGGCATCAAAAAAAAAAAGAAAAAAAAAAAGAAAAGAGTTTTAAATTCCAACAAAGCTTTGCCTGCTCAGACAAGTTTTGCACGACCAAACTGTTGAGGATTTGCTTGAGCTGATGATTTCATGTCGGGATCCAAAGAGCTAACATTGATCCCGTGTTGTTCTCTCTGAGAAAAACCTCCACCCAAGTTTCCCATCATTCCCCCAACACCAAGAAAATCCAAGGTCAGCTTTTCACTCCCGCCGCCCATCCCCGTCGCCGCAAGATTCTGATGCAGCTCACTTCCACCGAACCCTGCCCCGCCGTCGAAAATGGAAGAGTTGCCGTTTGCAAGAGAGTTCATCAGTCCTTGAAGATTACTATCATCCTCCATTTGTGATGATCTTAGCGTTTCGCTTCCACCGCCGTCGAAATTACTGCCGAAGTTGGGGGATAACACTGGTCTATCGGATTTTGTCCCAGTCGACAATGAACTCCCCAATCCCCTTAACAAAGACGAAGCGTTGTTGTTGTTGTTGCTGCTTGTAGTTGAACCTATTTGCGCAGCTTTTTGAAGCAATGCAGTAGCCGACATGTGGGGAGAAATGTTCTCGTGTTGCATCGAAGTGCTATAAAGAGAGGAGAGTCCTGAACCAACCTGATCTCCCATGCATTGAAGTTCACTAGCACTTATACTGCTTGTACCACTGGTATTGGAGAAGAATCCCAAATTGAAAAGATTTGCAGAAGTGTGGGAATTGTTGTTGTTAGTACTAGTACTTCCTTGAAGATCAGGAAGTTGCAGAAGCCCATGCAATGGCTTGTTCATATATGGTCCATGGCCATGGTCTTGATGATGATGAAACCCTTGGTTTGCAGCATCAGACATGAAGAACATAGATGAAGGCATGTTCGGTAATGAAGAAGGATTCACTGGAGAGATGAACCGATCGAACTTTGGTGGTCCCGAAGAAGTACTGCCCAAACGCAACAGGTTACTCGATGGTTGAACCTGATTCTGGTCTAAGCTCATTTGATGATTACTTCCAAAGAGATAATGGCTGCCCATTGTGGTTGAGTTGGTGGGGTGTCTTGCACTCTCTTGAGCCAGTGCATCGCAAAAGGCTCGGTGAGTGATAAAACTATCACGTCTGCAGTAAAAAAGAGAAATAGAGGGAAAGTCAACTTTGATAATAGGGCTTAAAGTTAAAAAGAAATGGAATTAGCAGTTGCAGTTAACAAATGCAAGGGGATGGGGGACCTTTACGTTGAAGATCATGTGTTACCATTTTGACTAACTTTCCAATATTTTAACAGAAAATAAGGACAAAAGCTCTTGTTTTAACCTGAAACTGATGAATGAATGGATTCAAAGTTGAATTTCCATTTTGAGGAAAGGGTGTTTAATAAATGAAGCTGGGGAATCATTTCCTGGTTGATAAAAAAACCAGAAGTCCCATGGGAAACCTATTGATTTCTGGGGAAAAAAAACCCTGAACAGCAGTCTATCATTCATGGAAGCTTTTGAAATCGATAGAGAAGATGAAAACAAAGGAAAACTCACATGTGAATGATTAAATTTACCTTGAGAAAAGAGTGCCACAGTCACATCTGTACTCTCTGGTGCCACAAGTCTTCGAATGAGCTTTCCAATCGGATTGAACGGCGTACCTCTTGGAACACTTCTCGCACTTCCATTTCTTCTCGCCGTGTTTTCTGGAGTAATGCTTTTTTATGCCGGTGAGGTCGCCGAGCGCCTTAGAAGGGTCATGGTGGACGCATGTGGGCTCTGGGCAAAGATAAACTTTCCTCTTCACTTCTTTTGTAGTCTTCTGCTTTAGCTTCCATGGCAGGTTGTGTCCTCTTCTGTGGAGCTGTAAATTTTGTTCCCTTTGGAACCCTTTGTTGCATACCTCACATATGAACCTGTTTGTTGCCATTAGAGTCTTGGGAGATAGTGCTATCACCTCCGCGTCTGGATCTGCTCATGAGAAATGACAAACAACAAAATTTTAAATTAGGGTTCATGGGGGTAACCTTGATTTTTTTTTTGAATAAAAAAAGGGGAATGGAACAAGAACAAGAACATTAACCCTCTTTCTCTGTTGGCTTTACTTATTGGATGCATGTGCTAAAAGCCTTGAAAGAAGAAGGAAAAAAGAATTCATTATCGGATGGTATGTTAAAAAGGGATACTTGCATGAAGTTCCGGGGTGATTTCTCTTTTTCTTCTGAGGTGCAGTGGCTGGAGCAGTTGACAAAGTGGGTGTGGCGGTGGATGATTGTTGTACTTGAATCATCTGGTTTTGATTATCTTCCCTGCTTCCAAAGAAAGACGACGACGATGAGTTGGCGGCCATCTTCAAATTGGCTATTTCTTCTTCCTTCAACACCAGCAGAACCAGAATTCAGAAATCACCCAAAATCAGCACAATATAAGAGATTTCAGCTTTTTCCTCATATGCTTTACCAAAACAAAACCCACAATCAAAAGGAAAAGGAAAATAGATAAAAACCCAGAAGAAAAAAAATACCAAGAACAAACAATATAAGCAGACAGTGAAACAATCAAAAGCTATCCAATTTGCGTAAACAGATACATGTATGTTAATCCCATCTCTCTTTCTGGTGTATTATTATAGTAGAATCTCTCTCTTTCTCGACACTTTCTCTAGTAGCTGGCATAAATTTCTCTTCCTTAAAACTATAGAAAATAATGATTTGGAAATAAAAAAAAGAGAGGAAGAAATGAGATGAGAGTAAATTGAGGGATGGAAAAGGGTGAGGAATCGGTGTCACTATTGAAGCAGCTAAAGATAATGTCGTGATTCGAGATGCGATGGGGGACCACCCATCAAAGCAGCTGCCTTACCCTTTGAGCTCCCAACACACCATATATCTATCTCCGCTTGTTTCGTATATTCTCAATTAGCATCAAGACAAGCCTCCCTTTCGTCACTCCTTCGCCTCTTTTACATATTCTTTCATTTATCCTTTTATTTAAAAAAAAAAAGTATATACACCTTTCCAGGCGAAATTAGACAAATAATGCATGCAGAATAATTACTCAATAAGATAAGATATTCTTAAATTTATTTTAGGATCAACGTCATTTATTACAGTACACTTGAAACTCGTCATGTGAAGGTGAAGAGTTTCATAAAATATATTTAAAAAAATAGAACGTCATATAAAATAGATCAAAATTACATAAAACTCGTCACATCCACATAACGAATTTCACATACACTATGACAAATGACCTATATCCCAAAATAAATTTAAGGATACTCTATTTACTAATTAATTATTTCATTTCATGATTTTCATAATTTTTTATATAATCAATCAGTACCAGATTAATAATAGTGGGAAAATATTTTAGTTTGAAAAATTATTTTAATATAATTATTAACATTTGATTTATTAATAGATTAATCTAATTAGGCCTGTAAACGAACTGAACTTTCATTGAATCGTTCTACGACCCTAAAATTTCTTTATGTTAATTATTCATTTTACTGAAACTACCTACCCTAAAATTTTCTTTGTGCCCATCCTAAAATTGTATTTGTGCATACTCCATATGAATTTTTTTTGTTATTAATATATATGTGTCCACCCTGAAAAATATTTCTAGATCAGCCATCGTCCGTTTATATATTAAAATGAACAAACATGAACAAGATTTTATGTTCGTTTAATTAAATGAAAGAACACAAACAAATTGCTTGTTCGTTCATTTATGTTCATGAACGTTCGGTAATAAGTTCTTTTATGTTTGGACATCCATGTTTGTCCATGTTCGTTCGTTTATATTCAACCCAATCTCCAGACCTATTTAAAATATTAATACCTATAAATTTTATGGTAAATTACGCGATTAGTACCTAAACTATCAATTTTGATTTATTTTAGTACCTAAATTTTTAATTTTTTTCAAAACCATATGTAAAATTTATATATTGTTTTATTTTAGACCCTCCGTTAAAAACTTTAGTTTTTTATTTCTTATTTTAGTGCCCCATTCAAAATTTAACGTTAAGTTTTGAAAAAAATTGAATGTTTAGATACTAAAATAGACCAAAATTGATAATTTAGATACTAAATGCGTAAATTTTTAACAGTGGTGTACTAAAATGAAATAAAAACTAAACATTAGGTATGAAAGAAAACTAAACTTTTTAACGACAGTGTACTGAAATAAAACAAAATATAAATTTTACATATGGTTTTGAAAAAAATTAAAAATTTAGGTACTAAAACCAACAAAAACTAATAGTTTAGGTACTAAATGCGTAATTTACCCTAAGTTTTAACCTTAAACTCATTAATATTTTAAAACCCAAATAAAAAAAATACCCAAATCAATTAAAAATATAAATCCAAACATTTGGAAAGAAAAACTCTTTCTAAATATAAACTCAATTAATGTTATGTTCGTTTGTTTGTGTTTGTTTGCGTTCGTTCATTCGTTTGTGTTCATTTATTATTTTAACGAACAAACATAAATGAACAAGAACAAGTTAAATTTCTTTACGAACAAAAAAATTAGTTTGCTTAGTTGTTCGTATCCGTTCGTTTGTTCAATTAAAGTTAAATGAACGAACATGAATATATCATCATTCGTATTCGTTCAATTTGTTTACATGAACATACCATTATTTGTGTTCGTTCGATTTGTTTACGGGCCTAAATTCAATTTTAAAAATATAAGAAACAGACATATTCCAGTAGACCTAGAAATTTATGAATTGCAATCTGAAATTTTGTAATTAATTATATGCAACTTATAAAATCAAACTTAGTTTAAGAAGAAGTAATGCATGTAAATAATTGTTTTCCTAAATCAATAGCATTTATTGGTAATTTTCCAAATTCATAAATAAGGTTATATGTGTCGACATCTTCACCCAAAAGAATTCAAAAACTGAAATGCATTTGGTAAGGAATCTATCAATGTAAGCGCATGATAGTGAACATGTAGCCCTACTCTTTCAAATTTCAACACTAAATCCAAAAAAAAACTTGAAAATCTCTCTTTTCAACTTATTTTGTAATTTTCTAATTAATAACCATCTATTAGTGTTGGTAATTAATAAGTAACTAAAACATGTAAAACGATAAATACAATTGTTAACTAATAAAAATATAGGTAATAAATATATGTTTATGAGTTAAATAAAAAATTATTTTTATATACTTTGCAATTATTTAGGTGAAATACGAAAATGAAGTGTTGTGGTTTTATGTGTTACATTTTACTACAAGATTGAAATAATATTAGACAAGAGCATTATTTTGGTCATGTTTTTTAGACTGGGATGGACATGGACTGAAGTGAAGGCGGATGGGGCAGTCGTCCTATGAAAATTTAAAATTACCATATATTTTAGACTATTTTATGTATTTTTTATTGAAAATTTATTTTCGTCCCCTTATAATTTTATAAGTTTATCCATTTATAAAATTTTAGAAGTTTGCCTCCAATAGAAAATGATGCGTTCATCTATAGTTATAGACCAACTAGGAGCACTCCCTTTCCCCCCTAGAGTCTCACTTCCCTTCCCCCTTAACTAGGATTAGGATTAGATTTAAAATTTATAAAAAAATATTATTAAAGTAATATATTAGAAAACATGCATATTCATATATATGGTTATCCAATCAAAAATTATATTGACGGTACTCATTACTATTAATGAACACACATACGTAGAGTCAAATATATTACAGGGTAAAACATCTTATTATTTTGATCATATTCTAATAATATTGATTATCAGGGATGAATCGAGAGAGCATGCAAGACAATCGTCTTCGGTAGAAATTTTAAATTATCATATATTTTAGTTTTATTTTTTATGGATAATATGTTTTCGCCCTTAAAATTTTATAAGTTCGCCTCTTAACATAAAATTATGTATTCATTCACGTTGATGACATATATTTATTTCTTTTAATCTAATACTTTCATTTTAAAGTGACAACATGTAACACCCTAGACATGTACGACACACAGTCGACCGATTTAGAGTGTTGCATGGAACCACTAAAGTGGCTGAGCATTTTTTTCTTACTTTCTCATGCTTTAAAATGACTACTTTAAATTTTATTTCATAAGAAACATCCATAAAAAATATAAAATAAACTTTATACTAGAGAACTCTCAAAATAAACATTTTTACATTTTAAAATAATAATAATACAGACCGACTCTTAACCGACTTTACAACTAAATACATTACAACTGATTTTATGAATATACATACACTTCAAAACTTGATGACGTACTCTGCTCTGCATTGGATATGGACCTCAATCCCTCTAAGGTTCTTCAATTGCTCAATCTACTAACCTACCAACGGAAACATCCGAAAGCTGGGCTAACTAGCTCAGTGCCACACTAACAACTAAAACATACTAAAAGTGCATCACTGAAAGACTCATGCTATCTAGTCTACTGATTTGCTATGAAGTCTACTGCTCTATTCTGCTATGCTTTAGTGAATATACAAGTATACTCACTCTCTACTCTATGGTAGACATCATGGTGAGACTGAGAGTTCTGCATCTCGGAGCTCACACACCCCTCTAGTCTATCGAGGATATAGACCCCATAATCTCTGCATCAAACATCATACCCTCGATTAGCCCAACCTTGCGCCCAAACTAGTCACCTTAAAGTGTCTCGCGCACTCCCTAAGGATATATCCAAACTAAATATATACTTTCGACTCTGGTAGCTTTCTAAAGGAACTCGGGTGTCTGAATCGTTTCCCGAGCATCAATCAAGGCTAGTTTATTTATCCCTACTTTATCGTTCTCACTTGTAGTCTTATTTGGGAGAAATTATAAGCTTTTTGGGAAACCTCAATTGCCTCTACACCTTCTTTTTGATTTATGCATGAAACATGAACAATATTAATATTGCTTCTTACAGTATTGATACTCACCCCTAAACATGCCCTAATTTATCTCGTTTCTATTTGTAATTAGTGTTCTTTCATTATCACTTATCATTTTGTACACACCCATTTTGTTCGGGCCTTTTATCATTTTTATTTTTATTATAATTATTAAATATTAAATATTAATATTATTTCCTTATTTTTGTAGGCCATTACAACAAGACCAAATTGGGCCCATTTATAAAGAAGTCAACTAACCCTAACATTACAGTATACCCAAACCCTAGCTTAGTAGAACCCAAAATAATTAGGGTTTTAAACCCTAGGATTTTTAGCCTCCACCACCGCTAAGGAGAAGAAGAGTCACGCAATTACCACTGTCGGGGAGCTACATCGTCGCCTTTCTCGATGTCGGTCACCTCAGATAGACCGAATCCCCTATTTCAAATCAAATCCACAAATATCAATAAAAAAAGAAAAAACCAAATAAAAACTAATCCCAAAAAATCAGGGATCCCTGCCAACCGATCCTAATCCCGATTTTCCTCACCAAACCTACCAACCGACCGTACCCATCTGCCCATATCTTCCATAGCCTTACCAAACAAGCAACCACGAAAAAATCAGCATGCGATATAAAAGAAGAGGATTGTTTGAAGAAAAGAAAAAAAGGAGTAGAGTTTGAACCAAGGAGTGGAGATCCAAAAAAAAGAAAAAAAGGAAACCAAACAATAGCAGAATAAGAAAAAAAAGAGATTCGAACAAGAAAAATAGAGAGAAAAAAGTAGATCCGAGAATGAAAAAGGAACGAGAAAGGGAGGTCTTATCTTGCTCTTTGTCAGATA